GGTTCAAGTCAAGGTCGCTGCATAGCCTTTCAGTAATTGCAAGGGTTTTACGAGTCACTGACCATAAATATCAAGAATCCGCCGACAGTGGCAAGATTTCGTCATTCATTTTAATTTTCCTACAGGACCCATTTGGTGAACCTTTTGTTTGTTCTTTTGTTTGTTCTTGCGGCGTTAACGTCTCCTTCTCAACCGTTTTTCGGAGGTGTCATGAAACGACGCCCCCGGTCCTGAACAAAATCGTTATGTTTTGATCGTCCCCGATAAAAGCTGGTTGGAAAGGAGACTACGCTTCAAAACAAGCAGATTGCTCTTTGGTTATACGAGTGGCATATAGATGGTTGTGGTTTTTGAAATGCCACTTTTGTTACTTCGATCGCTTAAAAAATAGCAACACACAATGTTGGAAAGGAACAATGTTCAAACGAAATAAATCGTGGCGATCAGCAAAGCAAAGGCGATGAAAGAATATAAGTAAAGTTTATTCCTCGTTTCCTATAATATTCCTGTTGAGTGTAATATGTTTGCTACCCTTATTCAAGCATTTTCATTAAGTATCTGTGAATGTTTACTTATAAGCAAAAATGTATTCGAGTTTTCGTTTGAGATTTTTTGTGCCATGTCATATGTACAAACCATATTTGTTACGAGCGGCTGTTACATAACGATAAGTATTACTACAGTATGATTGTAGAAAAGTGTTGTTAGCTTTGTACATGTATATTTATTATAAATAGTCAGTCAAAGTAGAATAAAAGGGATAGTTCTGAATGTTCGCTTATGCTTTGCGTTGACACGAAGCTCAGGATAGGGATTTCGTACATTTAATGAGGACAGACGTGGTCATTTCAATTTGAATTAAACTTCTTAAAGGAACATTACTGTCACGGAAAATGGATCACGCGTTTCATTTCATTTTCCTTTGACGAAAGTACAATTTCTAGATCAAAGCTGAGTTCTAGTGACACATACGTTACTTGAGTACTTGAGACATAGGTTTTAATCCAACTTGAAACAAAAACGGGCCAAATAGAATTACTCATCTCAACACTTATTAGATGCAAAAAGGAACGAACGACTGTGCCAGTTAATTTTCTACAGGAAATTTAGTGATGGTAATCAGCGTGACTTAAGGGTCTTGTTTTGTAAACCAGTCGACAAGGATTTATTATGCGATTTGCAAATTTGACAGCGCTGGCTGTCTGCTGATAATTTCTCTTTCCTCCCAAACAATATAGCTCAAAGTAAGGTTTCATTCTGAAATAACAAAACCTTAATCCTTGATTATCAAGAGAAGATTACTTCATCCTCTCTGAATGACCGATTAACTTCTCGATTCTGAATAGTGACTGACCGTTTAAAAGAAAGTTATGTCTCAGTAACAAAGTTATCTTTATTCTTTTCTTAATCTTTTCCAGTGCTATCCATTTCATTGAATCTGTGAATATTAGCCCGCTTGTACACAAATTAAAGCAGAACAGGAACATACGCCACTTCACACGAGATCTACATATATTCAAGCCGGGGCCAAGATGAAGAGAGTTGTTCTCGAATACGCAAAACAAATGAGTCCAATTCTTTTCGATACAACAAACATTAAAACTAGCCCAAGGAGTTTTTTTAACCTTAGTTTTCTGGTGAACGTAGCTCTCATGGGAAAAGAATCTTTTGCTCTTCTAAACTAATTATATGACTTGTATAAAACAAAAACAAAAAAAATAAACAAAGTCTTTTGTAAAGCGTAGTAAAAAGATGCTGCAGAAAAAATCAAGAGATGGAACCACGCATGTAAAGTCTTAGAATGTTGTAGTTTTAGTATTCGAAACGGATTCGAGTCTGTTTTCATGTTGACTCAGGGTTCTGACATTTGTGAGACCCGCCCCTCCCCCTTCGGAAATAGAGTGTAATTCAAAGGGGCCTGATAGATAATCACTTGTTTTCCGTTTGAAAATTAAGTGGACCACATTCGCTCCGTTTGCAACGTTCCTGACAATTTGAGCATGAAAGTATGCTTATTATATTACTCATACTGAAGATAGTGAAATGCGCCCTCCTCAAGGTAAATGTTTACTTGGCCAGGCAAATTAAACATTACAAGAAGTAAACATTAGAAAAAGGAACGATACTCGAAAGTGAGCAAACCAAGTAGACCAGATTCTTTGTGGCTGATCGAAAAGAAGTATGAGGGAATCGACAGAAAGTTAGAATCTCTTTGATTTGTAGAGGTTGAACTGCTGGGAACGATTATGGGTTTTCAACCGACAGCGACGCTCTAGAGGACAGACAGAAACGGTGAGTGATTTTTACCGGTTAAATCAGTTCGTGGTTCAGTGCCAATCGCTGTCCATCAGCGCGGACTACAGAGTTCGAAGCAATTAGCTTCTTTGAATTATGTTGCTTGGTTTTAATGACTTAGAACTAAGCAGCAGTTGAAAGTTTCTCCATGAATTTGTTTTTCTGTCGGTAGAATTGATACGTGACGACTCGAGTGTCAAACCAGGAAGTAGAATTAAGAAGAGCCAGCCCCATCATTAAGACCAATGACCCCGGCCCCAACCAAAATTTATACTTCTGATCACGCTTCATCAAGAGAAGAAGTAACAAATAGGAAACGTTTCTTCAATTAACAAATCTGATAGAAAGATGAAACAGTAATTATCTGCCATTTACCGAAAATAAGCGACAGAAAAGCGTAAACGAATGCAACACATGATTGTCAGCAGGCATAAAAGTTAAAGCTCAAGGATTCTGGTTAAATGAAAATAACAAGATGCCTCCGGCATCACAAAACGTACATTTCGATATATTTATCGCTTGGAACCAAGTAACGTCCAAGTTGTGATCCCTGTCGTAAAGTTTCTACGACAGGGATTGGATATTGTGAGACTGGTTTTATTTCAGTTGAGTCGATTGTGCATTTTTCTCATGCGTGTTTACCCGAGAGCACTTAGTCGTAGCCCGTTTAATGACTTGATTTTTATTTCAATAAGGCGATAACCTGTAACTGGCAATATCTTGCAGATCATCTGACGGATTAAAATGAATTTATCTTCAATTAGCGGTCTCCCTTATTGACCTCAGTTTTCTTATAGACTAGATGTGTAAAATTCTTTCGAGAAGTCATTTAGAATTGCCTTCAAAGGTGGATTCAATAATCGTAGCTTACCGGACATTTGGGCGTGATTAAACGAAAATTATTTTCTCTTGTATTTAAGTTTTGTACTTAAAGCGGTCTACTTTTAGTAAATAAAAACATTCAAGTAAAAACATTTTAGTAAATAAAACATTCATTTTAAAAATTTCAGGAAGCTACACTTAAGAGGATGGAGGAAGGGAAGATGTAATCTGCTTTGCGACCGGCATGAGGAACAAAGAAAAACATCTGAGTTCCCATTTGGCATACAAGCCCAGACCTTCGGATTTTGCGCCCTAATACTTTGAATTCCTAGCGAGGGAACTCTTCTTTACTACATGCTCGAAGAACGAGTCTAAAATCTGCCATGTTTCTTATTTTTACACTAAGAGGGCTTGTTAAAATAGTTGTTGGGAAAACCAGCGACATCCGTTCATCCGCTTAAAACTAAACAGCTCCTGTACTTTACGAAAACATCTGCCATCCCTCTCCAGCATATTGATTAATATTATTGGCGAGTAATGCCTTTGGATTAAGCCTGACACCACACGACACAATGATAGCTCTACAGATTAATCTAAACCTAATAATAAAATACAATAACCTTGTTATCGGAGAAAACAAGACGTCGGTATATGTTTGCTTTAAGGGAAGTGATCGGAGGAACGCTCACGTATAGGCTAAGCTTTTGGGACCAAGAACACCTTCTACAGTAGGTATGTACGAGCAGCTATCAAAGACATATGTTCAATTAGATACTATGTGCATGATTAAATGGAATAACAGAACTCTCTCTGACTCTTTCCGGAAAGAGCTGCAATTTGATATTCCATCTTAAGCCTGTCTACACATCGTTCGGTGTTAGATATATACTGAAACGATTACAACCTACAGGGTCAGAGAAACTGGTGGATGTTTACCTCCACTTTATATAATTAGTGAATTATTTTATCACATCTAAACTTTTCAGTATGCTTTTAAATTTGAACATGGTCCTTTGAAAGGACCTCTCCTCCCTCCCCCCTCCCTCCTCCCCCCTCATCATGGAATAATCCCATTCACAGTATTATAGTCTCAGACGCCGACGGGAGGAGAATACTCCGAAGTAGACGGTCAGAAGTTAGGTCTACCAGACAAGAAAGAAACTCTTTGAAACTCTTAACGGTGGCCAATTTACATCATCATCCCCCCCCCCACACACACACAAACACACACCGACGTAGCATTACAGTTTCTTTAGAAACTTACTTCCTTTATTTACTGGTCAAAACGTAGCTAAAAATAACAGAGAACAAATCAACACCATAACAGCAGAGACGGAAGAACTTAAGGAGCATAAAAACATATTTTTTGGTAGGTTTTCAAATGATTTAAGATTTCTAGAAAGTTCAGTAGAACGGTACGTGACATGAAGAAGGAAGTAGAATGAAAAGAAAACATTCATTTGACTAAGCAACTTATGTATTGAAAGAGGAAGTGAGTTAACATTGTAAAGTTTACATAAGGAAGCAAAACTTCTTAATGACAGATTAACAATAACAAAAATACGAATAGATTTATTGCAGTCTACGGACGTCCCAATAGTAAAGTGGTTGTGAAATTGTAACGTGATCTGTATCTAAAAAAAAATCCTACGCATGTAGAATGTTGCGGTTTGAGTAATAATCTTCGAAACGTATCCGGGTAATGTTGACTTAGGGTTCTGACATTTCTGAGACCCGCCACACGCCTACCCATATACTATTTAGCCCCTTCCCCCTCCGGAAATAGAGTGTCATCCAACGGTGCCTGTTTTGCGTTTCTGATAGATATCGGTTGTATACCGTATGAAAATTAGGTGGACCACATTCGCTCCGTTTGCGACGTTACTACCAATTTCAGCATGAAAGTGTATTATATTCTTATACGGAATATAGAGAAATGCGCTCTCTTCCAGGGAGATGTTTACTTAGCCTCTAAAAGGTTGCAAGGCAAAGAATTAGAAAAAGGAACGATACTGAAAAGCGAGCAAACCAACCAGACCAGATTCTTTGTGGCTGATCGAAAAGAAATATTTTTTGATAGGAACTGCGTTGAGGAAATCGACGGAAAGTTAGAACTTCTTACATATGCGGAGGCTGAACAGCTTTTGGAGATTATTTCTCTAGAGGAACGACTGCGGGTATTCGACGCCGGACAGCGACGCTCCGGAGGACAGACAGAAGCGGTAAGTCATTTGTTATGATTAAGTCAGTTCGTGGTTCAGTGTCAATTGCCGTCCATCGGTGCGGAACAACAGAGTTCGAAGCAATAAGCTGCTTTTAATTATTGAATTATGTTGCTTGGCTCTGACTTAGGACTAAGCAGTAGTTGAAAGTTTCTTGATGAGTTTTTTTTCTTTTCAGTTAGTTAGAATCGATACGTGACGACTCGAGAGTCAAACAAGGAAGCAGAGTTAAAAAGAGTCAGCCCAGCATTTAGAACAATGACCCTACCAAAACCATACGCTTTTATTCACGCTTCGTTAAGAGAAGAAGTAACAAATAGGAAATGTTTCTTCATTTAAAAATCTGATAGAAAGATGAAACAGTAATGATCTCGCCATCTACCGAAAATAAAGAAAGACAAGCGTAAACGGATGCAGCACATGATTGTAGGCTAGCATAAAGGTTAAAGTTCAAGGATTCTGGTTAAATGAAAATAACAAAGAGATGCCTGCCGCATCACGAAACATACATTTCAATACATTTATCGCTTGGAACCAAGTTACGTACAAGTTGTAATCCCTGTCGTAAAGGTTTTAGCTTGTATATTACTTGCAAGACCAATTTAATTTAAGTTAAGTTAATTGTGCATTTTTTTTCTCATGTGCGTTTACACAAGAGCACATAGTCGTAACCCGTTTATGACTGGTTTTCATTTCGATTAGGCGATAACTTGTAGCGGGCCAAATCTTGCGGATCGTAGCGGTCTCTCCAATCGACCTCAGTTTTTCTAGAGACTTGATGTGTAAAATCCTTTCGAAAAATTTAGAAACGCCTTCAAAGGTGGATTCAATAGTCGTAGCTTACCGAGCAATTGAGCGTCATTTTAAGCAAATTGTTTGGTGTAGTTGTATGAGGTTTGCACTTAAAGCAGTCAACACTGGACTCTTGCCTATCTTATATAACGTGCACAAAAGCATTAAGTTAAAGAATTTCAGGAAGCTAAATTTAGCAGCTGGGTAGTGGAAGGGAAGATGTAATCTGCTTTGCGATGAGCATGGAACTAACAAGAACATCTGAGTCTCCCACTTGGCATACAAACCCAAATACAAACATACCTTGGCAAACTTCAAAGCATTGCGCCCGTCCCCGATGCTTTGAATTCCTAGCAGGGAAACTCTTCTTTTCTACATGTTCGGAGAACGAGCTCAAAACTCGCCATGTTTCTCATTTTATGGTAGGAGGGCTCGTAAAAATAGTTGTTGCGAAAATCAGCTCCATCCGTTCATCCGTTTAAAACTATACAGCTCCTATATTTTGCGAAAACATCTGCCATCCGTCTCCAGCGCTTTGTTCATACTGTTGGCCAGTAATGCTTTTATTTTTAGCCTGTCACCACGCGACACAATGCAAACGATACAGATTAATCTAAAACTAAAAATAAACCACAATAACCCTGTTATCAGAGAAAACAAGAGTTCATTATAGGTTTGCTTTCAGGGAAGTGATCGGAGGGACACTCGCGTAGGGGCTGAGCTTTCGAGACCAAGAACACCCTCTACAAAAGGTATGTGGAATCAGCTACTTATCAAAGATATTAGTTCCGCTAGATACTATGTGTATAATTAAATGGAATAACAGAACTCTCTCTGACTGGCTTTCCAGTCAGAGAGAGTTTTTCTTACGCCTGACTACATATCGTTCAGAGTCCGATTATACTGAAACAGTTATAACCTCCAAGGTCGGAGAAAGTGGATGTTTACCTCCACTTTGGTAACTTTTTTTCTATCTTAAAATTTCAGTATGCTTTTAAATAAAAAATATCCTTTGAAAAGACGACCTCTCCATTCTTTCCCCCGCATCACTGAATAATCCCACGCACGATGGCGTTACCTCAGATGCTGACGCTAGGAGAGCACCCAAAAGAAGACGGTCAGAACTTAGGTCTGCCAGACAAGAAAGAGACTCTTGGAAACTCTTAACGGTGGCCAACTTACATCATGAACTCAGTTGATAAAACCAAATGATCTTGTCATACCACCCCCCTTCCCACTTCCCCCTTCCCCCC